CACCTACTTTTTCTGCTTTCTTGTGATGTTCAGTTGATAGCGTGGCAACTGTGCACGAATTTCCCTATATGTAAACTCTCTCTGAATTCTGCCTGTGTTTCCAACTATACTTCCCCTGCTTTGCCTGCTGGGGCTTCCAAAGGCACCAGCTGGGGATGGTTTGCACGCTGGTGCACTCCAAAGATTGGTGCATTTTTCTAGCCAAATTCCAAAGACATTCTCACACATTTCTGGGGCTGAGAAACTAATTTCCAAGTCTAACAGACCAGTTATGATTGTCCCCAAGTGCCTTTTGGGCACTGGCAGAGGGACTGGCAAAATTGGGAAGACCCACAAGGCAATTCTGCTGCTCTTCTGAAGCAGCTCAATAAATGCTTCCCACAACGCATGATGGAATCAGTTTCCCACATTCAGACAACGTGATAACCCACCATGGGTCAGGCAACCACTAAAGCAAGTCAAGGCTAGAAGTGGTTTGGCTTCTAGCCGCATGATAACCCAGTGTGGCAAGTTGTTGTAATGCAAACCCAGTCACTGTAGGAGTTCAGAGGGTATTAACTGGGGTGAAGGAATGGTCACACTGCAGTTCCATGTAAACAAGCATGCGCACCCCCACGCTTTTCCAGGCTAATTCGATGCTTTTATTATTGATTATTTCAATGTATGCGCCCACAATTGGACCCTGTGAGCAGCTGTCCACCACTAGCCAGAGAGTTCCCTGAACTGTCCACCTTCGCAACTAAAGGGACGCAGGCTTGGGCATTTCCCCGGATGCTGGTGTGCACGCGCAGAGGGAGAGAGAACGCAACACACTCTTACCTTCACAATATGCACTAATCCTTCTGTCCACAAAAGTATATTTTTCCACACGCTTGACTAGTGTAGCCCCCTGCCCGCGCACCCACCTGCAGCTTCCTCTATTTCCCTGTCTCCTTAGCTGTTAATTAACTGCATTTCTGCAGCTCCTCGCAGGGAAAGATCATTTTTATACTCTTCAGGCCATTTTTTCCCCATTTGTGCTTTAATGTGTGTGTTATTTTGCAGCATGGAGTGGAGTACCCCCTCCCCACAAGTGCCAAAACATCTACCCTGTGTGCAGGCGGGTCAAGTGAAATTTCTACAGATACGTGCGTGTTCTCCAAGTTTGCTGCTAGGGTATATAATGGTTGTTAAGGTCAAATAGCTGCTTTCATACATATAGACTAATACAACGTGATTCCACTGCATTCTTTCTTTCTGAATGTCTACTAACCAATAGATTTTCTGTGCTGCACCATCATAACCATTGCCATAATTAACAACTACATTCTGTAGTTCAGCTTGCTGTTCCATCTACATCAAAATGAAAATCGCATAAAGAAAAAGAATACTGGACTCAAATTAAAAGGAATAAAACATTTTTTTCCCTTTCTTCCGAGATGAAACATGTTGCCTATGTGCTTGTATCCTAATTGGTATGTGGTCTTTTCAAAGGTCACATGGAACATTTAGGAAATGGAGACATCAAGTATGCTTAATTGTAACTGTTCAGTGCTGGGTGAAAATTCATATCGGACCGTTACAGCCGCAGAACGAGATTCCAGTTCTTGTGGGTACACAGGTTGTTAGAGCTCGATCACCTAAAAGCCTTGTTTCAGAAGTGAGAGGCAGAAGAAATTCACAATTAGTTCTAATTCTAAAGTTACCGAGCGATATAGGTACTTTCATGGTGACTTCACAAGAAACACCCCACTGGCATTCCTTTGGTGGCACAACATGGGAAAGGACCTGATCTGGAGGGAGGGGAATGGGCTTAATTCCACCCCCGCCCACAGCCTCGCTCTTCCATTCCCCTCTCCGTGGCTGTTGCTCTTGCAGCTGCGGCAACATTCTTCTCAGGTCAGAAAGCTGAGAAACTGGAAAGCTAGAACAAACGCAGCTAAGGGGCGGCAGTGTGGGCCTGGCACCCATTTTGCCCTTTTCCAAGCATGCCCTCCCTCTCTCCCTGCGCTTGCCAGAGAATGGGTTCCCTGGCCTGGATCTTCCTTGTTTCTGCTGGAAGTCAGTTTTAATGTGAGCAGAAGAGAGAAACTGGAAAGCATCCAAGGGACTTGGGTCGGACTTCATTTGACTTGTGGTTGGACCCAAACCAGTAAAGCAGGAGGCAGATAACAGGAACAGTGATGGGAATACTGTTACATGCTCACTCCGTCTTGTACGCGTTTACTTGGAAGTACATCTTCCATTGGATGGGTTTCATTTCGAAGCATGCAGAATTTTAAATCAGTAACTAGTATTTAAAAAAAGAAAACCAAGAATATTCAAATAAAAATAGTACAGAATGTATGCTAAGTTATGTAAAATTACAGTCTTAAACGCAACAAGAACTAATGAAGTTGATTTTTTTTTCAACTGGTGAGAATATTTTCATCAACTTAGATTGACAGTATCTCTGGTAAAGCATATCTTATGTACTGTACCACTAGAAATTCTTTCGAAAAGTCAGTGGAGGCACACTAAACCAGAAACTTGATAAGAAATTTGGCAGTCGGGGGGGGGGGGGGAGGCGATGACAGAACAATTAAGGGGAGGAAGCCTCTCTCTTCCCCTCCCACCCATTTTTTCCCCAAACTGTTTTTGTTTTTCTTTTCTAGAAAATTGAAAAGTTTGGATTATTGAAAAATTGGATTATGAATATTTCCTTTTATTTAGAATTTAGGACAATATATTTATTTAGTGGTACTCAGCCTTTTCTTCCGACAAATAATTTATAAAAACTAGGTAATAGGAAGACTTTTATAGAAGGACTAGAGATGTAAAATATCTGGAAATAATGAAGCAATGGGGGAAATGCTGTGCAGATCATCTCTGTGCGACTCCCAAAATCCTTATTTCTTCCATTCCTTATTAACATTATTACTCTATGTATCCCTAGTGATAAACATTTAGCAATGTTCCAAGTGATGCTCTCTTTCCCAACATACGAGTAGAGTTTCATGTCATAATATGGAAGAAAATGTGTGTTCTTGACAGTTTGATTCTGTTCTAAAAGGTCCTGTGTTTTGGGGCTTGTTCTGGTTACGTACTACAGCAATCGGTTAATGTCATTCTACTCTAAAACACACATGTGAATAAAACACAGTAGCTTATCCTGCTGCTATCACCAAATGCATGTTTATTTTATTTATTTATTTAAAACTTTTCTATACTGCCCCATACTTAGACATCTCGGGATGGTTTACAACAAATTAATCCTAAAAATAGAAATAAGAATAACAGTTGCCCAGCATCCAATGTTAAAATATAAACCCACTAAAACAAGTTAACAATTAAAATACTGGGAGAATAAAAAGATTTTTTCCTGATGACGAAAGGAAAGAAGTGTTGGCACCAGGCGGACCTCTTTGGGGAGCATGTTCCACAATCGGGCACCACCACAGAGAAGGCCCTCCTCTGGGTAGTCCGGATCAAGGAGCACTCCCAAACTGTGCACCCCATCCTTTAGGGGGAGTGCAATCCCGTCTAGAACAGGGCAGATGTCACTCACCTGTAGGGCTGAACCGCCTACCAGCAGGACCTTTGTCTTATCTGGATTGAGCTTCAGTTTATTGGCCCTCATGCAGCCCATTTCCCTGGCCAGGCACTGGTTCAGTACAGCCACTGCCTCACCTGGACTAGATGTAAATGAAAGGTAGAGCTGGGTGTCATCAGCATACTGATGACTCCGCAGCCCAAACCTCCAGATGACCTCTCCCAGCAGTTTCATGTAGATGTTAAAGAGCGTGGGGGATAATACAGAACCCTGCAGAACTCCATGGCAAAGTTGCCATGGCGCAGAGCCACAATCCCCCAGCACCACCTTCTGGAATTGGCCAGACAGGTGGGAGTGGAACCACCGTAAAGCAGTGCCTCCAACTCCTAACCAGGCCAGTCTATCCAGAAGGATACCATGGTCAATGGTATTGAAAGCTGCTGAGAGGTCCAGGAGAACCAACAGGGACTCCCCCTATCCTTCTCTCTGCACAGGTAATTGTACAGGGCGACCAAGGCAGTTTCTGTTCCATAGCCAGGCCTGAAGCCAGATTGAAGTGGGTCAGGATGGTCCATTTCCTCCAAGAATGCCTAGAATTGTCCAGCCACCACCTGCTCGAGGACCTTGTTGTTACTTATATGCCTGAAACTAAAGGAAGCTGAATTTCAAAATAAATAAATGGAGGCCATCAGTCTAGGGAAGGCTGTCCTGAAGTAACAAATTTACTTTGGATCTACAAAGAACTCTTTTTAAAAGTATTGCTTATTTTCCAAGTTCCCCCAAAGTTCCTTCCCTGCCATTTCTTCAAAATTCCTGGAAATTTTACATCTCTAAACATGATCTTTGTTGATATAATCACAAAACTCTTCCTTTACAACCACAAATACTGTCGATCTGTGAGGAGAAAAGTATCTTTCAACACAAATGGAGAAGAAACCCTTGGAGTAACCATATGAGCTGACTGTTCTGTGGAATAAAGCACCTTGGCTCAAGTATCTTCACTGGGAAATAAATATAATAAAAAGATTACACTGCATCTAATTACAATGCAAGCAGGAATCCTTTTATGGTGCTGAAACAGAGGATGCTTTGATATGAACCTTTAAAAATGAAATGTGTATCCACTGCCTTCATTCTACTTGTGCATTATTTTAAAAAACCGGACTGGAGATAATAGGACATCTACATCTTTTAAAATGTTTTGTCTGTAATGGCAGGGTTATGGGTAGTAGACAGCAATTTTGCCTTTTAACGCTTCACTCTTGGATATGGAATAAGGAAGCCCTGCAATGCTCAGAGACAGAGGGTTTGTTTGCCTGCTCATTTCTGAACGTGATACAATCCATTAGTCTGAAGGCTAAATGTTATATATCGCATTTAAAATATCTATGTGAAGTTTATTTTATTACAGTTTCAGGTATGACAGTGTTCTTTTTTTCTCATCCTTTTCAAACCCCTGTTTATATGTGTGTATTTTTCCTCTGCCTAGACCTGGTTAACCATTTCTGTGAACAGGTCCTCAATTTTTTACTTTGTCCCTACTTTCCTGTCGTAGCCCCATCTTCCCCTGGTGTCGACTCCGTACCCTTACAGCGCACAGGCAGTCAGCACGGCACACAGAACGCAACAGCGACCTTCCAGAGGGCCAGCTATGCAGCAGGCCCGGCCTCCAATTACACAGATCCCTACCGACAGCTGCAGTATTGTCCTTCCGTTGAGTCGCCGTACAGCAAATCTGGACCAGCCATCCCACCTGAGGGAACCTTGGCTAGGTCCCCTTCAATTGATAGCATTCAGAAAGATCCCAGGTGGGTGAAACCTTCTTCTCTCTACAGTGATGCTCTCATGCCGAAGTTTACGTTTGCAGCCGAGCTCGTATTTTACATGTGTGGTATTATGAGGCCAGTGAATCGGCCAGTGGAATGCATGGTTTCATTTGGCATTTTTGCAAGAATTTTTCAATACGAGTGTCTTTATAGAAACAAAAGAGAGAGAAAATAGGATGAATAGGTATTATTGGGTTCTTCTGATAAATCTGTCCTGTGAACATATTGCATGAATTTGATATAGTAACTAAAGAAACATGTATTGAGTTTTTTTTTTTTTTTTGCTTCTTTGGGTGACTTTACTAATAGAAAAACAGAGCATTGTTTGAGATTCATAGTTTTATGAAATGCTACTATTTTCTGCTAAGTCAGAGGTTAAGGTGATGAGAAAGTGTTTGCAGGTCTGTTGTCATATGGTCATTCCGTGGGAGTTGAGCTGAGATTATTGTAAAAAGGAAATTCACTTGAGCTGAGATCACTGGGATCACAGAAAATGTGTGAAGTCTCATTCAAAAATACATGCCTGATTTATACAAGACCTCCATTTGCAAGTGGTGTGACTTTCGCAGAATTCACAGAAATGTGAAGCAGAGGAGGAATTTCTAGTGCTTCTCTTCGTACCTTGTATAGTGCTTGTAGGCACTCAACATCAGAAGAGGCACTGTTTAAAACAACAGTACACAGACAAAGGCACAATCAAAACGCACCACCAGTCCTTAAGTAAACCATATACACTTGTTGTGAGCCAAGTGCACCCAGACTTGTGTATAAGGACTGCACAACCGTGGCTTATCATGTACTCCAGAGAAGGGTCACAAGGCTTCTTGGAGAGTTAAACAACCTTCCGATGGCCTCATTTTACTTTAGAGGATTTCAAGCCTCCCATAAGGCATCACACCCAGCTTTGGATCTCATGATCAGCAACAAGGGTGGCGATTAAGCCAACCATGCCCAGTGAGTGCCGGAGCTCACAAGAAGCCACATTGGCTTCCTTCTGTCGTGCAGCCCAGATTAATATCCCATCGAGCTTGTTCAGGTCAGTGCCTCTGTAATGTTATGTAAATGTTTTCTTGTTATGTTTATAGTATGTTCCTTCTTGTAAATTTCACTAAGTTGCGCATGAATGTTCTTGGCAAAATAATTTCTATAGATGAGCAACATTTTGTGAACTTGTAGGAGCAGTTGCCCAAACATCTGCAGTGTATAGAAGTAGAATATAGGGATCATTTCTGAGAAAGCTCATATAGCACATATTTGTATCACTACTTTAATTACAATTTATTTTTATTTTTTAAAAACAAGATGTTACCTACATTCACTGCTGAGAGATCAGTGACATTGATTAGTTAGCCCTTGTCTCATTTGGTCCATCACTTTGAAAGTCTGATTTCTTTGTTGTAGTGAAACTCCCACATGTATCTGGATATTTCTTTTGTGACATACTTGTGTGTTGAATCCTCCCCTGTACAGCATTCAAAAGTTGTTGTGTCAAAAAGTACTTGTTTTGAGTTATTCCTTTTAAGAAGTATGACTAACTCTGCTGTAACATGCCACTTCTAAAAATGTTTCCATGCAGAGATTTTTTTTATTCTTTTCTGAATGCAAGATACATCATCAGATGATCATCTATTTTGGATGGATGACTCTGACCCCATCCCCATGACCTTGTGATTTAACATTGAGCTCTGAGATCAATTCATGGAATAGAAGTAAAAGGTAAAGATCGAGAAGAGTTGCATGTGCGGCAAGGGGTCCAAAGTGAATTCATTATCTGGGAGTCCCTGAGCTGTTGGAAGCTGAGTTTAAGTGCCTCCGACTATTGCGTCTGCTTGGGATTGTTGGGCACCAGCCCCGTCATCTGTCAGTCTCCTTCCCTCTTCACACCTCTGGCATTTCCCAAATTTACTACCACACAAGGAGAGAAGAAAGAAAGTAGCAGATGAGAGGTTTATTTAAACCCAAGGTCTTTTCCATCACTTCTTTATCATAACGCCTCCTGTACACACTCAAAACCTATGCTTCTGACACTCACAATTGCAAATGTGCTCTTTTTTATCCCTCGAAGGAGTACTGGGAAGAGGCTATAACTTCTGGAGTTCCCATTGACAACGGTGGGTCTGAGTGTTCTTGGAATTCTTTGTAGCAGATCATTGGGATTCAAAGAGCCCTTGACATTACATAAGTGCCTCATTTACCATCCTCCCACTTACATCTTGTAACCTCTCTCATTCTGTTAGAACTAGGGTCATCCATTGAAGCTGAATGGTGTAGGAGGCAGGGCAGAGAAAAATAAATGCTTTTTTACACAGTGCATGATTTAACTATTGAATTTGTTACCCCAAGATGTTGGCTGCTAACAGAAAGGGAATTTAGACAAATCCATGGAGGAAGAAGCTATGGCCAGCCATGATGGTTACATCAGACTTCCCGAGCTGGGCACCCTCCAAGAGTGATGGACCACAGCCTCAGAATCTCCAAGCAGACAGAGGAAGGCTAAGATAGGCCACCTCCAGGATCAGAGGCAGTGTGCCCAAGTGTGCCAGCTGTTCAGGAGCCCGAATGGTGGGTCCCTGCCTTTGCCTTAGCATAGGCTTGCATGGGGAAGCAGAATGCTGGATTGCGTAGGCTTTGCTCTGAACCAGCAGGGTTCTTTGCATGTTCTTAAGGTGGGGGAGGACACAAAAATGGATATTCAACAGAGCACGGATGGTAGAGGAGCTCCCTTAGGCTGGTATTGTGGAGCCCGTCCCCAGCATTTCTCCAAAAAGCCTTCAGAAATGCAGCTTTTGGAGACTGAAATAATCCATATTGAGATATTTGGCAACCACTACCAAGAGTCTGAAATTATTTCAAGGCAAATCTCCGGATTGAATTAGAATATGTTCACCGATGTTTTGTGCCAGTGTTCATGGATCTCTTTTCCTGCTGAACAGATTTTAGAAAATCAGTTATCTCTGGAATACTTTATATGACTTACCATAGGGGAAAGATGGGTCCTGCTTACACAAAGACTCAATATTTTTGTGGGGAAAATGACGAAGTTTAAAGGACATCTTTTTCCTCACCATAAAAGGGTTGGACAAGAGGCTTGGGTGATGCGTATCCAGTGAAGATTAAAATAGGGTACATTGAAGGTTTATGTCGACTAGTCATAGAATTCAAATGTTACTAGCAAATTAGAACAGCAAATAAGAAGTTGAAAGAAAAAGGAGGGTCATGAAAGCCAAAGCTCCTTTCCTGAACCACAACTTTGTATTCAGCCACCAGTTTGAGAAGTGTGAACCACTTCACTTCAGAAGAAGCAGAAAACATTATCACCAGCTTTCCATGCCATTTCCATGTGAAACAATCGTATTTCATTAGCAGGCTGGGGGGGGGGGGATGTCCCTGCATAAGCTTCCACTCTGATAGAATGCCTGAAAAACTATCAATCAGACTTTTTAGGAATTCTGTGGTGAATTCTTGCCTAAATGCACTAAGCAGGAAAGGAATACTGAAGTGAATTAAATGCAAAGTACAGTCAAAGGATGTTAAATGTCATAATATGTAGCATTTGAACTGTTGCAAAGAATTGCTCTGGCTAATATGAACTTCAGCATCGCTATTCCAAGGCGTTCCTGCTTTGAAAGTTACAATTCCATTTCATCCCCTCTGCTGAGTTTAATTTTTCATCATGCTGCGAATTAAATCACCTGAGTATCATGGGAGCCCTTCAGTCAGAAAACCTTCTTTGTGCTTGGTTTTGCCCTGCTTTTGAGGGGAAAGGAGCTGAGTACGCTTTGTGGTCCATTAGCACTCATCATTGCATTATATTTGCAAGCTGTTTATAATTTTCCATTTTTCCCTGTGAAAAAATGGAACTTACATTGATAAGCAGCCATTATTATCTTCATGGCCATGAAAGTGTTTTGAGATTAAAATTCACAGTAGAAGGCATTGCTTTCAGACAGACTGAAAGGTTTCTGAGGAGATTTCAGAATATACCTGTTTTATGCTCGCTGTGGTTTGTCAAGTGTGAAATATTATTAGAGATGATTATGATATCAGATTATAAATCCTAATAGGCGAATGGATGCAAACGCATCTCTTTTGTGTATTTATCTGGCTTAATTAAAACGTATAAGGGATTCTATTGATAGAAATAAAATCAGAACAAGCCACTGCAACGTGGAGCATGTGGCTTTCTGATCCCTGCGCTTTTCACCCCCTTTGTGTCTTTATCTGCTAGGGCTGAGTCAGACTCAGCATTACAGCTCATTATGGGGCAATCCAACAGGTAAGGCAACAACCAGGTAAACGGTCAAGCCTAAGTTTTCAGTCCGGACTGGCCAAGGCAGGGATGGGCCAGATACAAGCAAAGGGTAAAGCAGCTGTTAAGCAGTCGGATACAATACATGCATCCTATAAATATTTTGTGTTGTAAGCCGCCCCGAGGCTTCGGCAAGGGGCAGCATAGAAATGTTCTAATAATAATAATAATAATAATAATAATAATTATTATTATTATTATTATATCCGATTGGCCAACCGTCCTTCTGAGATTGACACATTTGAGAGAACTGGGCAGCACCAGCCTTGTAATTAACAATTCCTCAGGTCTTTCTCTCCTCCCTCAGTGCAGATGTTTGCTTTGCTGTTCCTTGTTCTTACCTTGCAGACACTGTACAGCTTACAGGTATTTATGTAGTCACGGAATGCGAAAAGGAATTTGGTGCCATGGTCCTGTTGTTTGTGGCAGAGTGACATCCTGCACTAGGCCATTGTATTGAATCCAAACCAAAATACTCATTCAGCTGCAAGTCGTATCGTAATGAAAGATGGCTTGAAGGGAAAGCAAACCAATTTAATTGTGAAGATACAGAAGCACCAAAAGAATTTCCTTAAGACCTGGCCAGTCCCATATGTCTACCTCTTGAATTCTGTTGCATCTAAATGTTGGCGGCCTTCATACGTGTGTGAGTAGATGCTGGGTTTCAAGGACA